TTCGGGTTGCGACCAGAGTCGCGGAACAAATTAAGTTCGTGACCCAAGGTACCACTGTACAAACGTCTATAGAGCAGAACGGGCTGCAGGTTCATTTACGTTTTCATTCAGCCTCCCAGACTGCTGGTAGCAGATGGTGCAATGGCATCATCAGAGTAGACAGGCCCAAATGTTTAGTGTATATTGGGGACAAGGGGCTTTAAGGGTTAAATGGTTGCTGTAAGTCTTTCAGAAGCTTAACACACATATTTTGATTATTTTGACCAAAGAACTAGGCAAAATCAAACCATGAAAAAACAGCTGTTGAAACAGGGTGCTCTTGGATCTGCCGAAATGGCGGGGGACAGCCTAGGTGCTTGCTGTAGTATATGAAAGCTTTCCCAACATGGTGTACTGCTTGCTAGATGCTTCCTCTATGGAAGTGGTAGTGTTTTTCCAAATAAAGAACAAGATTTGCTGTGAAGCATTAAGACGTGGTACCTCCTTACCTGCCCCATATGAAATGGTACGTTCCTCAAACATCTTTAATGATCAAGTATGCTGAATGTATAAATATTCAATGTAAGATTGTTAGAAGCCCAAATTCTGCAGCAGCCAAACTGATACCAGACAGGACAAATCCAGTAAGGAAATGAATCTGGAGCATTACATACTTACAGGCCACATATGATACTTCAGTCTCCAACATTTCAATGTCGGCTACATTGACGTAGAAAAACGGCTTAGACTCAGGGACGGTCCCACCAATACCAGGCAAAGAGACATTGGCAAGGCAGCAGCAGCAATAAACTATAGGCATGAACAGGAGGAAACCAGCAAGGCGTAAGATAAGGTATGGAACTTCCACAACTCCTTTGAGAACCTGGGAAGAAACCTGCCACAGGAGGTAATGCCCCTACCCAGATCAACCAAATGATAGCCAGGAAATCGAAAAATGTTCATTGAATGCCCTTGGAAAAACAGGGGAGCTCCAATATGAAAAATGCATTTATGAATAAAGACACAAAGACTAATTAACTCTTTCTTTTTCCAGAATTGTTCATTGTTTGTTTTTCTACTTTTTCATGGAGGCCTTCACCTTCTGTTTAGGAATAAGAACATCAGCTCAGTAAGACAGAATCAACTCAATGTGTATGCACGCTGTGTACTAGCTGAAAAACAGACTATTTAATTTCTCTACCCTCCACCCACGTATTCCTGCACACCTTAGGAACTAAGGAAGCAATGGTGTGAATTTGCCAATAAAATAACTTTTTAAAGTATCTACTGAGAACATAATTAATGTGCTAGACAGATTTGGGTTGCAGAAATTCCCCACCCAACCGTAGAGCCCACTGGATGACTTTGGGCTAAACCATCTCTCTCAGCCCAACTTAACTTTCAGGGTTCATGCTGTGGAGAAAAAATTAGGAGAGGTCTTTCTCCATGCCATTTTAAGCACTTGAGAGCAAAGGTGCAATACAAATGCAATCTAATTAAAATAAAAAACACTAAAATGGTTTAATTTAAAATTCATACCATCAGCATGCTAAAAATACTACGCTAGATAACAACTTTGTTTGCCACTTATAAAACATATGCATTGAAGGCTAATTGGGGTATTACCCAAAACCCAAAGAGAAACCTTATGCGTTCTTCTCTGAAAATCTGCACCTGAACACACATGTAAATGTTTGTGCTGTTGAGTGTGGAATATCTTTGGCAAATTAACTTCTCTTATAGGAAAAGATTTTATGAAACAATAATTAAAATGACTGCAGATTATTACAATTTTGCCTGCAAGCCAGTAGCTGTCTTTAAAAATGCTTTCTCTCCCTCTTCTCAAATTCCTGTAATCTGAAATGAGAGAAAGAACAATGCTTCTCTCTGTTGCCTGATTTTGTAACTAAGATTGCATACTCTACCCCTCTTTTCATACCTCTGTAGCAGACCACACCGACAGGAGGTGGAGAAAATATCAAAATGCGTTTGCGAAGCAAGGCGAACTTCCAGAGTGTCAAGATCTGCTCGCCAAAGAACTTGATGAACTGAGACATACAGCCTGCAGGGTGTGTGATCTGCAGCCAGAGGAAACAGCAAGAAACCAATGACAAAGCAGAAACAAGAGGGCTGTGATGGGGAGTGGGTGGGCGAGAGAGGTGGCAGTTTCAACAAAAGTTCTGGGAAGGGAGTAGCTACACAGGGTCAGTATCATCCTTTTTTCAGATAAACAGTGGAAACTGGTCATTCCTTCCCACTCCCAGTAAGGAGTTGACTGGTGTGATAGACACACATATATTATTAAATTTGTATGCCGCTGCCAAACCATTCTGACTCAGCCAACATACAACCAAATAAAACACAATGAAACATCCATGCAGAACAAAAACAAATCCAATATAAGCATCCATAGCAAGTAGCACAAAAACAAATGTAATAAAAACTCCATAAACAAAGGGAAAAAAATAACAATAATAATCGAATAAAATATATATTCCACATTACCCATTATACCAGAACCCAGAATAACTAAAAAATATTAAATCTAATAGTAATAATGAAACCCACAGTCCAACAGCCCCAATTATTCCTCACCTTCATCTCTGGATACATATAGTTGTGGATGGAAGGCAGCCAGTGGATGGGTTGCTGTGAAACAAGAGTGCCTGCTGGGAAAACTCCTTTCTTGTCATCATAAAAGGCTTCCAAGTGAGAGTAATGCCCTGGCATTTCCAACTGGTGCCTGGAAGGGAAGCAAGTAAGCAAGACAAGTGCTAAAAGCGGCCACGGAGTGGTCTTCTGCTTATGGAGCAAGAAGTCATTCTCAGCTCAGCCCCAAGAACGGTAGTTGCTCTCTACAGGCTCCCTTGTCAGATGCCCAATTCCCTTCCTAGCCATCTTCACAGCAAGGCTGACAGCAAGGTGGTCCAGATGAGGTCAGGACTGGGCCCACTGTTTGGGGGATTTTTTGGTAGATGTGCCTCAATTCAAGTGAAAAAGACTGGGCTTCCCTGCAAATCTTCAGAAGGAATCACACATGCAGTATTTCTCTTGCGCATACAGGTCTCGATCCAGAATCAGATTCATGCTTAAGCACACATGTGGTGACATGGCAGGACTGGTTATATCCCATTTTTCACCTGAATTTCACCTATTTCTACTTCATGGGGAAATACCTTCATCTGGGTAATAAGTGGCACGTTGGATCATCACTGTGACAGCCCAAACCTCAGCAGAGATCTAGAAAAACTGCACAAGGCTTCCCACCACGAACAGATTACTGCTCCCAGGACACTTTGAGGCATTACAAGATACACCATCCCCACATGCTTCCTTTATCTAAGGACGTACCTGACCTGGTTCTCCAAGAAGTGCATATATCTATACAACAGAGTGTAGGAAGGAGAAAGAATGCCCACAGATTTCATCCGTGCACCACGTTCCAATTCGCTCTCCACAGGCATATTGGCAAAACAAGCCAAACCAAAGCAAAGGCCTTTCCGGAAGTAACTGGAAAAGAATAAAGAATCTTCAATAAATCAATAGACAAATGACAATGACCTAACAAAGCTTGATGGTGGCAGGAAAGTTTGTGAAAACGGGTAATGGCTGGACCAGAGGATTTACAGCACATAGCAGTTGTGCCTTTGCTCTTCAACTATGGGACTGAAAGCTAACTTGCAACCTATCCTGAAGATACAGAACTAGCACAATTTCCTTATGCTGCTTTTTCCCCTCTAGGGAAGAATAGCATTCTTTCAGTCCTAGCTTCAGTTCTAGGATTAAATAAGCTTTATTTATTTTATCATTTATATAGAGATCTTTCAAGAAGCCTTCCAGCGAAGAATACCTGCAGACCAATCTCACTAAGATAAAAAGATAAGATAATCTATTTTGTTAAGTCTTTATTTGGCACCTAAAGGGTAACAAAGTAAGTACCAGGTATACTTTCTTTGACCAGCCATTGATTGATAGCAGAGGCCCATGGATAAAACCATCATTAAACTACTGGAACTTATGGGCAACTTAGTAAGAGAATGAGTGTTCCTTTTTAGCAGCCTTTCCGAAGCTGGTGCCTTTCACGTGTGCTGGGACTATCACCATGGTCATGCTGGCAGGCAATTCTGGGGACTGCATTTCCAACGTTGAAAAGCAACAGACCCAACAGAAAGGAAGAGAGAAACAAAAGTGATACTGCTGTGGGAGTTTATTACAGAGCAGAGCACCTGGACAGGCAGAAGATATGTAGGTCCTTCTATGTCAGATGATCGATGTTTCAAAGAGGCATGCATAATGGTAATGAGAAATATCAATTATCCTGACATTTACAGGAATCTAATTCTGCCAAGAGGACCAACAAATTCTTGTCCTCTCTTGATGACAATTTCATTTGTAAAAATGTGGAAGAAAGAAATAGCATCTGCTATCCTGGACTTAATCCTCATCAACAGGGAGGAATTAACTAAAGGAATTGGCACCTTGGGAAAAGTGATTATGCTACCTTTGAATCTGTGATATCGAGAAGAATCAAATACCAGAAAAGTGGAGAAAGTGGTGAGCTGGCAATGGGTGATAGTAACAAGTGAAAAACTCTTTTTGTGTTTACATTTCCTCAGACAGGAAATGGAGCTCTAGCTGGTCATCATTATGTCACTGTGAGAAGGAGGAAACTACAGCTTGGGATAAAAAAGGACAATGTGGGTAATTTAAACAAATTCAAGTCTCCAGGACAGGATGAACTCCTAGGATACTGAGGGAACTCACAGAGGCCACTGCAGAACTGCTGAAGAACTGGCCATATCTTGGAAGAGAGTAAATGGCATCTTCACCTTCAAAAAGAAATTACAGACCTGTCAGCTTGACATCTATATCAGGGAAGGTCCTTCAATAGAATATTAGACAGCAAGTTTGTGAGCACTTGAACAGGCATGCTACAATTAACAGGAGCCAGCATGGGGCTATTGCAAACGAATCATGCCAGACTAACCTTATCTTTTTCTTTGATAGAGTTACTAGCTTAAGAGATCAGGAGAACTGCGCCCTGGAAGAGCTGGTCCTTTTGAGGATACCACAGGAATTCTTGTGGTTGATCAAAGTTGAGCAGCTGAGGAGCCAAAGGATTTACAATGTGCCCTTAACCATGGTGCAGCCTTTATGGACATATGCCCAGCAAAAGCCCCACTTTCTTAAACACCTTTGGATTTTATTACTTTACCACCTAAGAGAGATATTCCTAACACCAGGGAAGATCAAAGACTCTCAGTGAGTTGCCTCCTTTCTGGAATTAAGAAGAGGGGGGAAAAATGCTATTTTAAAGGATTTTAATTTAAAAGCAAAAATCTTAATAAGATTGTGATTCAAGAAAGTTTTCAACAGATAAAGGGGACTGTAATTTTAGAAAACAGAAGATTTTTTTTTTCTGATGAAAGTGCTTTTGAAAATAGCAAAATTAATTAGACAAACAGACCAGAACTTTGTGGGAACGCTGATAGTGTATTATTAAGGACAGTAGATAATTGGTGGACGTTACAAAACAAGAAGATAAGAGTAATATGAGCTAAACTGTGTGTCTGTAATTACAGAGAGCTAATTGGGACTAAAATGTTACAAATAGAGAAAACCGAAAGGGGAAAAAAGAGAGAGGGGGAAGAGAGAGAGAGAGAGAGAGAGAGAGAGAGACGCCTGCCTTTTACTTTCACCGTAGTAATTGACATACTTTCACTTTCTCACAATGGCAACCACAAGAAAAGCTGCCAAATTAGAAGGACGGAGAGGTTCACTAGAACAACTTACAGATAAGGGCGTTTCCCAAGATTTATTGGAGAAAAGGTTTGACGAATTTAGTAAAACAATGACTGCAACTGTTGCCAATAGTTTGGATATTTTTAAAAAGGAAATGGAAAAAGGATTTGCAGGAATAAGAAAAGATATCAAAGAAGAAGTTAAGAAGATTGAAGGATCTGTAGGGCAATTAGCTGGAGACTTAAAACAAGTTACTGACAAAGTAGAAGTTTTGGAAAGTAAGACAGAAGTTATAAATAGAGAGATGGAGAAAGATTTGGACAATTTGGCATTCCTGGAATTGAGAGAAAAAAATATATATATTTTTAAAGATTTAGAGCAATTCCAGAAGAATATGGAGAAGATATTAGACAAAAGATTGTTAAGTCTTTGTCTAATTTCTTCAGTTGGGAGGAAGAGGACACTGAGACAGAGATTGATAAGCTTTATAGGATTAATACATGTTTTGCAAAATTAAGAAATGTTCCAAGGGTTGTCCTTGTGCACTTTGTCAGGAAGAAGACCAGAGATCAAGTTTTGCAGCAGGATTTTAATGCTGTCCAACATGTTTATCAATAATTTGGATGAAAGAGCTAAGAGGGTGCTTATCAAGTTTGCAGATGACACAAAAGAGGGTGGCTAACACTTTAGAGGGAAAAAGGAAGATTAATAAAAATAGGCTTGAGCAATGAACTGAAATGAATAGGATGGGATTTAAAAACAAGAACAAATGTAAAGTTCTGCATCCAGATAGGGTAAAATATGAGCCAGCAGTTTATGCAACTGCTAAAAAGACAAATGCTATATTGGGGTATGTTCACAGCAGCTGAGAGTCCAAATTGCAGAATTAGTTGTTCCACTCTATACAGCCCTAGTCACATTCCACTTGAAGTACTGTCTGTTTTGGACAAGTGGCATCATCTTTCAAAAATGACAGTGACAAATTGGAGCATGATCAACAGAGACCTGCTAAGAAGGGGAGAATTCTGGAAACTAAGATCTGTGAGGATCAATGAAAGGATCTGTGTATGTTTATCTCACAGAAGAGACAATGGAAGGGGTGATATGATAACAATCTTCAAACATATAAAGGGTTCTCATACAGAAAAGGGACTGGACTTGCTTTCTATTGCCCCAGAGCACAGGATCAGAAACAATGGGTTAAAAATATAAGGAACTAGGTTCAAGATAAGTTAGGAGGAACTTCCTAACTACCGGAGCTATGAGCCAGCGGAAAAGGCTGCCATGCTCAGTAGAGAACTTCAAACAGAGGTTGGATGGTCTTCTGTCAGAGATGCTGTAGTGCAGTGTTTCTTAAAAAAAAATTCTCTCAGGACCCTTTCCCATTTTTAAAAATTATGGAGGACCCCAAAAGAGCTTATGTTTGTATCAGTTATATTTATTGATATTTACCATATTAAAAATTGACACATTTGCTGCCGCTACCACTTCTCATGATTGTTTGATGGGATGTTAATATTGTATTGTTTTTCAACGTAGGCTGGCAAATAACTTTGATTTTGAGGACCCCTGAGAGGGTCTTTGGGGACCCCCAGGGGTCCTGGGACCACACTTTAAGAAACATTGCTGTAGTAGATCTTGCACTGAGCAATTCTATTAACATATCTGGAAAGCATTTTGTTGCTTTCAACATGGCTTGGAAATTTCAGCACTGGCAAGGTATGTTCCTACTGTACAATCCCAGATGCCAATTATATTCCAAATTAACAGCAGTTTCCAGGCCAGTCTTTGAGAGCAACTGCATTTATAATATGATAAAATAGGGGTGTTTACTATTTCCTTATAAATCAATCTCCCAACATTGTGTCTTACTGCAAGATGTTCAAGATACATTGAGGTACAGACATTATCAGGGGCAAACACAATGTTTAACATACTTTGTTTTCCAAATTTATGATTTGCTCCTATAAGAAAGAACAGCTGTAGCCAGCAGGGACAAGGTGCACTGGGGCCATCAGTAAAGTCAAGACGGGTAACCGCAACTACAGTATGCCATCAAACCTTTGCCTCTGTTTTTTACATGCATCATATGCAGAGCACACATTAAAAAGGATGGAGCCTGGATCGCATGGGTGCAGCTAACAACTTGACTTTTTTGTCCTCCTGCAGTTACCCCTGGACAGGCACTCTGAAAGGTGAATCTGAATTTGAAGAAATCACACAAACATGAACAAACTGCCTAGTGTGGCTTAATGTTGCCAGGTACAGGAGTGGGTAAGAGGCTATGCACAGTAAACCCTGGTCGTAAGAAATGTGCAAGCCAGATATGGTAGCCTAGTTCTTCCTCAAATCTGCAGTCACCTATACAACTAAGCTGGCATTAACAATAAGCATTTTGTGTTAATAATGAAAACCACTGTACCCATTCAACCCCTTCCAAATAACAGAAGGGTTTGCATCATTGAGTGGTGCAAGAAGTTTGCGACGTACTCACATGAAATCGGACTGGATTTTATGGGATCCGCTGGCCATAGATTTGAACTCAACACCTTCCAGATCAATGTCTTGTGGCAAACACCATTCAACCATATTACCTGTGCAGAAGGGAGGAAAACAAAACATGAACATGGAGGCAGGTCAAGACCAAGGCCACACAATCACACAGATGTGCCTTTACTCTTCTGAACCATTGAAACCATAGCCCACATTGTCTTATATTATCAGTTTTACAGGGACAGCTGCTTTTGCCTCATAACCAAAATTCTTAGGGCACCCAGATTTGTTTTAGTTGAATTTTTTTAATTTTCTGAAAGAATTTTGGAGAATCAATTTCTCCAAACATTGTGAAAATCTTCTTTATATTTTAAAAAATTCAGCAAGGGTTATTGAGCTAATGTTAGAGTGCATGTGGGAAGTATGGGGCATCCAGGAAGGGGTAGCACCTCTGGTGGAGGGGCCTGCTGTGCCCATTCTAGGGCTGCTCTTTCACCTTTGGTCCCCATCTGGTGCTCAGCTCTCACCTGTGGCTCCAAGAAGCTGTAATACACGCAGTGCCCACATCCCAGTAAACTCTCGGCAGACAGACCAAACCAGGTAAATGTAGTCAACAGGTCTTCGACTCTCAGTGAAATAGGGGATTTACCTATCCCAGCATGTGAAAACTGGCCCTGGCAGATTGAGCAGAGAAGACTGATCAATGGTCCAATGGTCAAGAAGGCAGGCCCAGCAGGCATTGTGGAGCACTAAGAGCATGACAAGGCTCTTAGATGGCCTGGTCATCCACTGCAGCAGGAGCGGTTTCTAGCATTAACAATTGTCTATGCCACTGGATTAAAGTCTCTTATGCCGGGAGAGTGGGACTGCCTCTGTGCAATGGCTGTTCCACCTAAGAGTCCATCACGTACAGGTTTCTGTTGCGCAATTCATCTTCATCTACAACTTATCTGCAAATCATCTCAATCCAAACCTAATTCGTTGAGCCCTGTGGCGATGGGGGAGTAGCAAAGCAACAGGCGGAACTGACCACTGGCAATTGTAGTCACAAACCTGCATGTGGGCAGCCCTTGGACCAGTGGTCGTTCATCTCAGTACCCGGAGAAGCAGGGATGTCCAGCAGCATCCAGAGTGACTGGGCAGCCCTTCTAGGATAGCGCTGCTAACCCTCGCATGAGGGAGGGGGTTAGAAAAGGCACACTAAACATTGCCTGCCCCACAACATCTGGCTAGCTAACTGCGGCTGGCAGATCATCTCCTTAGTGGTCAAGCATCAAGAAAAACGGATCAAAGAAAACTCATTTTTAGAGCCTGGAATGTCCCCACTTTGCTGGAGAGAGACAAGGTGTCAAGGCCTGAAATATGAACAGCACTCATAGCAGCTGAATTTCGCCGTTATAGCAGTGACATTGGTGCACTCACTGAGACCAGGCTGGCAGACGAGGGTTCATTACAGGAAGCAGCAAGTGGATATATGTTCTTTTG